AATACAAAGCATTATATTTAATTGACAATAGGCAAACTACATAACATAGACCTAAAATTTCTTCAGCGAAAGTACAAATTTGAGATCGATTTTAAGCGTCCATATTCATATATCCACATACATATGAACATATATTACCCTTCATATCAATTCAGGTGGCTATTATATGCGCCCCACGCTTTTCATTTTCAATCTCATAAGTTGGTTGTAACGACTTTTGCTAAAATTTCAAAATCAAAAGTTATCAAAACAAATTCTATGGGACTGAGAAATATTATTTTCTACTTTTTAGTCCATTTATAAAAGCGTTGTATATTAAAAAGTTTTTTTTTTTTATATTATTTGTTTTTAATTTTAAATCTTTTCCACCAGGCGAATGTGTGTATGCCACAATATTTACCGCAATTCGTAGATTTCGCATTTGTGTATATATATTTATGTATATATAGTATGTAAATAAATATGTATGTAATTAAGGAATATAATACTTACGTAAAGTAAACGCGTCCACGCTTATTTTGTGGCGCCTTCCAAATAAGTTTCGCACCCAATTTGTCACGATTGTCTGAATGTGTGATAGCTGAGCATTCTGGAATAGTTTTGGTATTTTCACTTTGTATCCATTCACCAATCCATTCGTTAGAGTTGGCATCACGAGCTTGTAGGAAGAATCCTCTAAAGGTGGCCTGATGTTCAAGAGGATAAATCAAAACTGCAAAACAATTTATACATTACACAGATAAATACTTAGCGTTCGCGTGCTCGAAAAATGTCATAACTCAAAATTTAAAAAATGCTAGAAGAAGGAGAAAGATTTTTCCTCGTGAACAAAATTAGATAATAACCTAAAAAATATTACGAGTATAAACAAAATACTCGTATGACGCTATTATCTGCCGACGAAACGTCCGGTAACGGACTGGGGCTGATCGAGGCCCGAAACTCGTGAAACCAAATCGATCATCTTGTGCGAGACGCCAGGCATGCTTGTAGTCTTTTATGTTGATCAGCGATGGGCAGGGAGAGCTTTAACTCTGCTCTCGCCTATAGAAAATGTATAGAAAGCTTAAAAGAGCTTTGCCCGCGGGCAAGGCAGTGCCCATGAGTGATGTAGATGTATGTATGTAAGTACACTCCGAGGCCAAAAATCGATTCGGACGACTATCTCCTCACACCTATTCACACAGAACACTTGTTAACAAACTGACATATGCGAGCAGTGGAACTAAATTTCCCGCTCATTACGTACCATCGCCCTGAGGAATGTTTGCTTAGTAAAATTGTTAAAAATTATTTGGCATGTTTTTCTGCGAAGTAATNGGAACTAAATTTCCCGCTCATTACGTACCATCGCCCTGAGGAATGTTTGCATGTTAGTAAAATNAAATGTCATAACTCAAAATTTAAAAAATGCTAGAAGAAGGAGAAAGATTTTTCCTCGTGAACAAAATTAGATAATAACCTAAAAAATATTACGAGTATAAACAAAATACTCGTATGACGCTATTATCTGTCGGAAAATTTAGCCTACACGACGAAACGTCCGGTAACGGACTGGGGCTGATCGAGGCCCGAAACTCGTGAAACCAAATCGATCATCTTGTGCGAGACGCCAGGCATGCTTGTAGTCTTTTATGTTGATCAGCGATGGGCAGGGAGAGCTTTAACTCTGCTCTCGCCTATAGAAAATGTATAGAAAGCTTAAAAGAGCTTTGCCCGCGGGCAAGGCAGTGCCCATGAGTGATGTAGATGTATGTATGTAAGTACACTCCGAGGCCAAAAATCGATTCGGACGACTATCTCCTCACACCTATTCACACAGAACACTTGTTAACAAACTGACATATGCGAGCAGTGGAACTAAATTTCCCGCTCATTACGTACCATCGCCCTGAGGAATGTTTGCTTAGTAAAATTGTTAAAAATTATTTGGCATGTTTTTCTGCGAAGTAATAAAAAAAAAATACGCAACTTAAACACAATTATGCGTTTTATGAGAAAACAGATCAATTAAATTTATCTTACAATAAGTAAAAAAAAAAAAAATACCGATGCATCGAGTTGACTAATAATACTCAATCGTTTACCTAATTAAGGTCAGAGCTACAGCTTTTTAATTATTTGACATTAGCTCTCTTTATAACTAGACGTTGCACATTTTTAGTTGAAACCTCATTTCAAGGATATTACATTTAAGCTTTAAATAGCAGAATCCAATGGATGTATATTCCTTTGAAAAATTATACTAAAATAAGTTTCCCAAAGAACCTCATCTGAAATGATTGATAAGAATATTGCATCAAAAGTTAATCCCGATAATGTCTAGTAGTTTTTTTTTTAAAGATTGGTTCACAAAAAAATAATAAAGCAAGAAACAAATGCAGCTATTTAAAAAGCAGACAACAAAACCAATTATTCGTACGTCAAAGATGAAGAAAAAATGGGGACTTTTGGCTGTCCATTGGTAGCTTTAAAGAGACTTTTAGTAAAGTTGATATATCTGAATTTTGACCGTTTTTATTACACAAATAGTCGAATATGCGCCGCCGAAGAAGTAGTCGGATTTCAGCGAACTGGAAAGAACAACTGGTACTGGGAGGAATGCCATGAAGCTGCAGAGAGAAAAGATGTCGCCTACAGGGCGGTGACTTCCGGAAGGTACCATGGTGACCTAGGTATCGAAGTTCACAACGTACTTAAATTATTGAGGCAACACTTTAGCACCACATTGAATGGTAACAGCACTGAAAATATAGAAGATGAAGACGAGCCCCTAGTCGTTGACGTCAAAAGCGATGCCACACAGCCCGACAAACTCTAGGTACGCATAACATTTATTTTGGTGGATAGTTAAATATTTGGAAAGTTTATCACTTATTTTTTTTTTTTTAGTAGCACTATTTATCACTTTTTGTTTTATGTGTTCAAATGCCAGCAATCTCGTTTGACGTTTGATTAGCAAAATTTACAATCACCTGAAACCTCCTGACCGGGATGAAAACTTTCCGAATTGGCAACAACTTCATAAGGATTTGTGTGTGCAGGCTGAGTGCGCGCCTTTCCGTGATTCGGTTGATTTGCACGTTGTTTCACACAAGTATCAGCCGGTGCACCATCCGGAAAGGCGTTTGCCAAACTTATTAGAGCCACTAAAAGCCAAAGAACGCTGCACAAATAACGCATTTCGCACACTACGTATTTTCCAAATATTTTGGTAAAAAAGTGTAATTTCCAATTTGTTATTACGAGTATTTATGTATTATGATTCGTGGTGTTTGGTTTTTGTTTGAAGTTTGCCCACTGCAATTTGATAATTTGTTTCCAAAGTTATTAAAACGCTTGATGGCGTTCCGTTCAGCGTTAAAGCAAATCTAATGTGTATCTGAATAGTGGCCACAAGCATGACGCTTTTTAAGCCTGACCGGCATTCAATGGATATGCTTAAATATGTATGTATGTATGTATGTATGTTTGTAAGCTTGCGTGGGAATGGCTGAAACTAAGATCGACGCTCTGAACACGTTAAATGCACCTACCTACATATACATATGTACATACACATACATATAAATTTACCTAAGCTTGTTTGGTGTACGAAGTGGTCAAGTCTGGAAAAGCGCAGTCCAAGTTTTTTACCGAAAAGCTATTTCATTTGTTTTTTTCTTCTCGAAATCGCCAATCGAAGCAAAGACCTTAAATTTAAACAAAAATACGAAAATATTTCAGCGTTTGGCTGGCAGCATGTGCCTTAGGTTGGGTCGATCCCTATACTTAAAAATTCGATAAATTTTTTTTTGTATGGCAGAAGGGCCACAACACGGCCATCAAAAAAAAATAAAATTTTAAATCAATTATACTTTCCGGCAACATCAAACTTTACTTTTTATATTAAAACCTTATAGGTTATAAACTGCACACTAGAAAATATGCTGAAAGTTTGTTGATTTATTTTATAATTAAAAAAATCAACGTACATTAAAAAACCAAATAAAAATGTTAGGCGCGAACCGAATTTTTTATTTCTCTTATTTTTTTGTCTTAATAAAAGTTTGATTCACTAATTTTATTGAGCTTGAGGCCGTTTTTAATGAAAATCCCAGTGAACTCAATGAACAAGTCTTATGAGGAGATGTAGAGATCTCCAAAATACCAGCTATCTAAATTTTTGTTTCTTTCCACAAAACTATTGATTAAAAACGTCCCCAATTCAAAAATTTGTCTTACTTTGAAATCGGATAACAAATCAAAAACAGTGTTCAAAATCGGCACGCTTAAATCTTTTCAATGTACATAGTTCCAAACAATGGGGAAGCGGTTGAAAATTACAAACATTACCGCGACCTAGCCTAATGTACATAAATGTGTGCACATATGCAGAGAGGTTTCTGCAACTTAAGCATAAGTATGTGTTACAAAATCTTGATTGAAAAGAGCTTGCAATTGCTTACTAAAATGTTTGGTGATTTATTTGTAAATCAAAAGTAAAAAAGATTTTGCTCTAATTAAAGCGCGTTTATCGATAAACAAAAAATATTACTTTGTCAACTGAGAGCTGATGCTAGTAGTAAGTCACATCTACGCAGATACATATGTTCATATACATGTATACCTTCGGATTCGGAAATGCGAATCTAAATAAATTCCCTGGCAAGCGATCAAACGGGAGCTCGACATGTTCATGATCCAGAACACGCAGGAGGTATGGGCCAAAACATAAGGCTGCAGAGCGTTCAGGAGTCAAGTTCACGAGTTTCTCCTATACCTCGAGGGGGCCGCTATGCTACTGTTTGGTGTTCTAACGGGACATTTCCTGCTGGCATTGCATGCCTTTAAGCTGGCTCTTATCAATGATAGAATGTCTTGGAAATGTATAATGAAAAAGGAGACAGTGGAATACATCCTTTTATAGCAGTGTACAATAAGTTGTTCCAGTTTGCCAAGAGTACTACGATGCACTTCAAGGTTGTTTTTGGTATTCAGCAACTCAACTGAACTGAACTGAACTGATTCAACTCAACTCAACTCACCTCTTTTATCTCATCTTCCTTAATTCACCTTACTACTTACACCAGGCACATGCTTCAACTGTCTGCTTGCTATTCACTTTTATGCTCAACGTATCATGCTTATTTCTTTTAATTAAAGTGTTTTTTTTTTTACTGTTTTCTAAAGTAAAGGTAACCAGGGGCCTATTTCATAAAGCGATAGTGATAATTTTGTAACCAAAGGCATTTTCCATGTTGCCAGTGACAGTTCGACCATTTGGTGGGTGCTTTGTTTCATAAAAACAATTGTCACCACCTTTTAAATTCCATAAGAAACTCCATTTAAAAAGTGACAAATTGTCATTATCGAGGTTTAAAATTGTCGTTGGTAAAATTGTCGCCAGTCATATGAAACTTATATGTAAATGATATGTAATAATTGCATTTGCATTATTTTAGTTTTAAGGAATATTCAAATTATTGAAAACTAAAGCAAAAGTGAAATGCGCGCAATTACCATATAAATAAATTTACAAAACTCTCCTGTGAAAGCTTTCCGACGGAGTTATTTGGTTTTGTCGCCATTGTCGCGACAATTTTGTCAGAGTGACAGTTGCCAGCACAATTGTCGATAATATTCCATATTATCACTGTCATTTTCCAAAAAATTTCACAGTTGCCTATAAACGTATATTTATAGAAAAATCGACAATTGTCGCACCTGTCACTTTTATGAAATAGGCCCCAGCTCGCAAGAAAACAAACCTGTAAAACTGTCAAACAGCAAAATTACTCTCTGAAGTGAGAGTAAAAAGTGAGTAACAACAAAAAGTACGGGAACAAAAAAAAACATTTTTTCTGCAAAAACGTCAACCACTGATTGCTTGACACTTTTCATGATTTTACCAGAAGAAAAAGTTCGGGTAAAATCTTGCAACTTCATTCTCTACACAACTTTCCAAAAGACGCTCTCATTTACAGGATTTTGGAGGATTTTGGAGTACGGGAACATTTTTCCTGCAACTTCCTGCAATTTCGAGTAAAATCCTGTAAGTTCATGGAGTACTGGATCAGAGCTAATATCTGTGGTTTAGTTTACTCTGTTAGGTGTTTGAAATTTAAAAGTATAAGGAAAATGATAAAGATGCTTTCTTTCTATCGAAGGTTATATATTAACATCACATCCAGCCCAATTTAATTAAGAAATGTTGAATTTTGTTGGTAGAATGACGGCGTATCACTTAGCATCGTATCCTCTTGAATATTGAAACCTAATGGAATCGGTCACACAATCTCTTCTAGGCTGTGTATTAGGAAATTTTAATAAATCATCTTCAACTCTACCCATAATCCTTGAGCGCTTATTCCACCTTTTAATACGAGAAAGATGACATTAGGCATGATTGAATAAATCCTTAAATACATAGATAATCAGTTTAATTAATTATACCCAATACCTAGTCATGGTTAATTGCCGATTGTGTAGCAAAAAACGTTAATTGAATTTCATTGAATCGCAAAAAAGAATTATTTGGCAAATGTCCCACAGCACTGCCACCCTAATGCATTTAAGTGTAACTAAGTGTACTTTATTCATTTTAATTCATGCTGTTTAAAGCAAAATTATGCCAAGCATATTGAGAGCAACAAACTCAGAGTACCTCTTTTCGTATGGCATGGCGCATGCCCCAAAAGTCTCGCGCTCTCTTCGTTAAGTTACGCCTTAGCACTTTTACGGCCAACTATAAGAATTTCTTATTTTTGTTTTGGTTCAAAGTAACAATGAAAAACATTTGTGATGACAAAATCGAAAAGAAAAACCCGTACTCTATTGACATTTTCAATTAAGAGAATAGCGGGAATACTTTTTATGTGAGGGCTCAGATGACATCCGTTGGTTTTACGGAATGTGTTCACCTATTCTGTGAAGATCTCCACCAGGAGACTGGTGGAAATTCTGTTCTTAAAATTTCTTGTTGCTCATTCATCGTAAAGAACCCAAACATCGATTATGTCTTCGTATCAAATCTTTTCCAAATGTCATAAAACTGTTTGAAATTGGATATTTAGTTATCTAGCAATAACACGAATACGAAAACGGATGCGAACACGAGTAGGAAGATGAATACGATAATAAAGACGAAGGCTAATTATGCACACCAATACGAACAAGAATACAAGGGCGAGTAGGTATATACGAAAACCAATACGAATACGAACAAGGACATGAAAACGAAGACAAACACGATCCGATATATGAATACAAACACGAAGACGAATACGAATAAGCAAATATTTATAGATAGGAAGACTAATTTGGAGTAAGGAGAGTTGAAATACGAAGACGAACAAGAAGACGTATATCAAGATTAATTCGAATACGAGGACGAGGACGTTGCGAAGGCAAACACGAATACGAAGAGCAATACGAAGATGATTGCGAAGACAAATACAAAGACTGCACTGACACGAATACGAAAACGACGACGAATATGAATACGAAAACTCATGCGGGTATATTCCGAAAACAGATAGAAATACAGGGACTAAAATAAACACGACGGTGAACGCGAAGATTAATACGAGAACGAAGTATGAAGACAGTGACTTAGGCAATGTTGGAGTAGCCTGGTATTGCTGGTAAGAACAAATATGTTCCCATGCGATAGATATTACCCGAATAAACTGAATATATATATTGTTGACTAGTCCATACTATCTTCTCGAACTACTATCTCGATTATCTTTATCATTTTCACCAGTGACAAACGCAAAATTACTATTTCTTCGTTCACAGCTGTATATTACCTCAAGGCATGCAAATTTTCTCTCTGTGTTTTTCTCTAAAATTTGTGGGATTTACAAAACCGTGTACTGTGCACATGTGCACTTTACGTCATGCGCTCTATACGTGCTGGCTTTCTAATTCATATTTTATTCAAAAACATCATACTGGAGAGTCGATAGATAGATTCGTAGCAGGTTGCGAATAATTTTAACGAGCAAGAATAACTCAGACCGCATTGCATAGTCAAGGAGCGTTAACTTGTCGAGAAAATTAAGCGGATGCCTATTGTTCAAAAAAGAAGAATTAAAAAGAGAATGACCAAAACAACCAAATAGTATAGTGCATGTAGAGCAACAACAAAGAAAATACCAAAAACAAATTAAAAAAAAAAAAATTGTGAAATATTGAAAAAAACAAAAATTTTGTGCAATTAAGTAAAAACCCAAATCGATTGTCTTGTGAATTTTGTGCGCATCGCAGCAACAAAAATAAGGTAAAAACGCATGTTTTTTGTGATATCAATTACTTACTTGATTAATATTTTACTGGACATTGAAGAAAGTTGTGAGTGAGCGAAGCAATTTATTCGAAAAATGTTCGCTTAAAATTTGGCATAAATAAAACTTGTTAAAAAAATATGAAAATGTTATAAAGTCAGCGCATAACAATTTTGCAATTTTGGTGAAGCAGGCGAAATAAGGGGGAAAAAACTAACGAAATCCTCGAGCAAAGCATAAAAGGTGGTTAATATTTAGGTCAAATTTTTTCTCTGCATGTGTATGTGTGTGCTTGTATTTGTGTTTGTGTTTGTTTAAGGGCCTCCTCTTTTCAGCGGTCAACTGTGCCCCCTATATAAATACGTCATTAAAGGCATAGTATTTAAGTCGCCCAATTTCGTCTGGCTTATAAAGATTAATTGCAATGCAGAAAACGTGCTAGTATTTTCAAAAAGAATTGTGTGACTGTGTGGCTGTGTGTGTGACTGTTTGCCGTTGCGTGGTTGCAGCCACATGACTTTCCGCTATTGATACTACACTGTGTGCAGTGGTGACTAATAAAATGGAAAATTAATCAATAATTCGACAAAAAGCAAACAAAAAAAAAACCAAACACAAATACAAAATGGCATTATTGCAGTGATTTGAAGGGGGAAAATAAACTTAAAATAATTATAATCAAAACGTGCTATAAATATACATACATATATATGTATGTAAAGAACGAGTAAGTACCAACATGTTTTGGAAATAAATATTTTTGAACGGTGCAGCAAGCCTCCGTCTGCTGTAGTCACGAGATTGGATAAGTATATTCGTGCAATATTAAATTTGGGCGTAGTTGGAGGCTGAAGGCCACTTGCATATGCGTATGTATGTATGTTATGCATGTTTATATGTATATTTGTCTTTATTGTCTTACAAAGCCGACCGTGCAGTGCAGCTACTTGAGCGCAGTTAAAATTGGTGTCGAAGGAAATGAATATCTATATATATGTATATGTATATATACATATATGTGTGGATTATTTACACAACCAACGTCTACGTCTTAACTGCTGGCAGTAAGTACTCTGTAGGATTTCGTCCATATATTGAATTTTTCGAAATAAACTGCATGAGCGTGACATGAACCCATGAGGCAGGACTTTTCGTGGCTGTAGCAGCAATGGCGACATGCGTGGACATTTTGTATCGATTCGTTGTAACGTTTTGAGACGAGCGAGAAAGAATGAGAGGGAGAGAGAGAGAGAGAAAACTCACTTCCTTCGTTGCCATATAAATTGTAATTTATTTACATGGATATGCATGTGTATATGCATGTATGTGTATGAGTGGACTTAAGACTATGAAATTTCACTTAACCATTAATGAAGAGTAGGCGCCCCTTCATCAAAAAATTTGTTTTTCTTCGTTATTTGTTTTTGTTGTTTTTTTGTCGCCACAGTTGTTGCTCGTTCGTGTGCAGTGCTTAGTTTGCGAATTTATGAATAATAATAATGTAAGTGCGTGCGTGCAAATGTATTTGTATGCACATAAGCGCAAACACACGCACACACATACACACGTTGAAAGCGTTCAAGAAACTTTTCCCATAATTTCCACCACGCAAATGTGTAAATATTTGCATACAATCCTTCGCCTAATTATAATGACTTGGGTCACTTCACTCGATGAAGTAGTCATAAGGGCAAACAAAGTTTCAAATGTCTTATCCAGCGAGCATTAATTGCTAGAATGTATCACTTGACTTTCAATTGTGGAGAAGTTATGCGAGATTATGCTGGAGGCCTCGATTTTTTTGGAACATTTTTTTACCATGAAATATAATTTTCCGGCTCATTGAATAATACACCCCACTTCAAATGAATAGGCTCATTATTTTTTGTCATATCCTTACTTGTAGGAGAAATTGCGTATCTTTAAATCTCATTTTGAAAAATGATCGATTCCAAAGACAAGTGGTTAAAACGAAAGGATTACTTTAAATACTTAATCTTCCATTTCGTATTCGTTGTCCTATTCTTCTTCGTATTCTTAGTCGTCCCTTCATTATGCCATCCTGTATTAGTCCTCGCATTTTTATTATTATTATTTTTATTTTTTTTCAGAGGAGGAAGCATCGAAAGCCTAAACCCCAATCCTCTCATGTGAGACTTTAACCCACTAATCCTCCTACCATCAATGTACTGATCTCCCCGGTACCACCGCAACTTCTATAGATCGTATTCGCCCTAATGTTAGTTTTCGTTTTCCTCTTCGCATTGTCGTCGTGTTCGTCGTTATCTTCGTCGGCGTCTTCGTATTCATCTCCGAATTCGAATTCGTCTCCAAATGCGTCTACGGTTGGTCTACGTATTCATATTTCAACCCGCCTCCGCATTCGCATTCGCATTCGCATTCGTCTTAATATTCATGTTTGTATTCATCTTCGTATTTGTATTTGTGTTTATGTGTATATACGCCTTTATATATTCTTCGTATTCGTCTTCCTACTCGCCTTTGCGTTCGTGTTCATTCTCTATTTATATTCGTCTTCATATTTGCAGTCGCCTTCTTACTCGTTCTCGTAAGAGTCTTTGTCGTGCATTGGTCTTTCAATTAGTCTTCGGTTGCTCTTACTATTTGTTTTCGTTTCCGTATATATTCGTATTTGTATTCGTTACACTCAAATTGAAGAGTTCCTGAGCTGCGGTTACGGAGGAATTTTCATTATTCTCTGTGTTTTCAAATATTGTTTCTGAATCATAACATCTTCCACGAAGTAAAGAGGCCCCGGTCCTTCTGAACTGATAGCTCTCCATACCACAACCGATTAATGCTGAATGTACTAAGCAAGCAGCTCTTCTCCTAGGTGCCTTCAAACATACTTCATATACTTACATGCGTCAGTGAGAAAGTGCAACGTTCTTTTATCACTAAACTAAACCTGAAGATGATGAAAAAAAAAAGAATTAGTGATAGATACATATCTTTTTTTTTTGCACATACGATTCCTAAATTGTTACAAAAATCTCACCCTCGACCCCATCATTTCTTTTTGTAAGTCGTTTTTTTTCTGGAATCGAAAAGATATAATCATTGGAGGTTAAGGCGGATTCATCGTTCTAGTTCTGAACTTTTTCTTCCATGTGGTTGTGGTTATATTTCTCTCTTTGAGAGAGAAACGCAACAACAAGTACATGGCAGAAAAGTTCTGAACTAAAATTATGAATCCGCCTTTAGTGTTGCAACAAGTTTTACAACCGTTCTATTAGCTAGATTCCTACTGTGTAATAGAGCTATAAGAGCCAATCAGGCAAACTTTCAATGGCAGGTAACGCAAAAACTGAGGGTTTCGCGGATGCTGGACTTTAAAGGGGACTTTTTGGAATAGATTTAAAATAATTGAAAATACTAACTGCTGCTGAGCAGCAGCATCCATGCAGAAATGTTTTTTCACTCTTTTCTCTATTTTTCGTTGAAGGTCTTGTATTTCCTAGGGAATAACATCAGCTCTGTCTTACAAGGATTGGCGGTGATAGGTAACCATGGGTCAGATCATATAGGGTGTCATGCCATGCGGAACAATTATCTCAGAGAAAATTGTTTGCGTGAGCGATCTATCGCACAAGATTTCTTACCAGCATATTTTTTATTATGAAAAAATGACTGTATTCCCAAAAATAGATTATTCCACGTTGTGTTGCTATAGAAAAACACAACTTCAACTAAATTCATGGTGAAACCCAGCTAAAAAACTCACTGTTTGAAAGTTCATCGCATGCGATAAAAAATCCTCATGTTATAAGGTTTGCGATCTCATTTTCACTTTATCGTATGAGATGATTAGGATTTTAAACTGCGGCTTCAATGCTGGGGAATGTTCCTACTGCAATACCCTTACACATTTTACAGTTGTGGTTATACATTTTAAAATTGTTTGCATATTCAGCTTTAGACAAAGTATCTTGAGAAGTCTCGTTTCTTTTATGGAGGCCAATAAGTCATTGCAGCGTATTCAGAAGAAACAAAGGCAGACTGATTGGGCTGAAGTCCTTAGATAACACATTTACTTAAATGACACCTGCCCATCCCAACATGATTTACACAGGAGCTTGCTACACGTGGAAAATGACCTTCGGCTACGATGCCTTTACTATGTTATGTACACCAGAGTCATCAGTATGATTGCAACCCATAGGTCCTTGGTGTGGTGGAGAGCCCTAGAGTCAGGCAGGGGCAATGACTCAAAATATCGGGAGCGTTGAGTAGAATGCAGCAAAACTGAATGAAATTAATGGATTCAAGTCAGCGCTGACTATATTACCGGTTTCGGACTTCAATACCTGTTCGGTTCCATTTACCTTGATGGAGCAAATAACGGGAGGCAGTCTCTACTCCAGGCAGAGATCTACGCCACAGGAAGAGCGGCTAGTGTTTTACTTGGCAGTATGTTTCCAGATAATAACGATAGTTAAGCAGCCTTGGAAGCATTAAGATTTGATCTAGTCAAATCGGAAATCGTATCAACGCCACTCTATGCTGGGTCCGCGAATATGGCAACATTTGAGGGAAGAGTCGGCCATGAGATGGTTAGATATGGCTGTACTACCAACGTTCAGTGATTACGTTAGGAAAATTAATGAATGCACATGGCGGTTACTAATGACTTTAGGAACAAACGGGAAGACTGCAAGATCGCAGGATTATGAAAGGCACGGCATAATAGGAAAAATATGGAAGACCTTCTGACACTCAATAGATCTGCAGTATGAATCCTTACTGGTATCATCACGGGACACTGTGCTAAAGCATGAATGATTTAGCGATGACCAATTCACCAATATCCGGGTTTGCAAGATGGGAGGATAAGGAGGTGGAACTATTGGATCTCCTCAGTTTCGTTTGGGATAACCATTGGTTCAGTAGGATAAGGACATGAAAGTACTTACCTTTTCTCTAAATAGGAACCGCCTCGGCTGGGGGTACGTGTATTCTCCTGACACTCACTTGT